CCCCCCCCCATCCCCTCCTGGCCCTTGCCAGCACCCTTCCACTCACTGCAGCCGATCTCGTCCGAGCGGTCCTGGCAGTCGGCCTCTTCGTCACACTGATAGCTGGCCGGGATGCAGGTGTGGCTGGAGAGGCAGACAAATTGGTCGGGGCCACAGGTGTCTCCGGGGCCCTTGGTGGCTGCAGGGAGGAAAGAAGGGGGGAGGATCAACACTTTCTATATCAGGAGTCTTTTACCGGCTGCCCCGCGAGGCCTTAATTCGAAGCCGAATCTTTCCCAAACTAAAACCCAATTCTGTGATTCCCTCGTTTGGAGCATTCGCCTTGCTTTAGCCCTACGTCGAACCCGGCCCCAGTGGACTCAAGATTTGCAGAAGGGGGGGGGAGTCTCCCCACCTCCCCCAACCCACCCCCACCTCCCCCGAGCTCTCGATCCTCACGGCAGTCCAGCTCGTCAGAGCCGTCGGCGCAGTCATTGTCCCCGTCGCAGCGCCAAAGCGTGAGGGCGCAGTGCCCGTTCCGGCATCGGAACTCATTGGGTTCGCAGGGCGAGGGAGTGCCTTGGAGGGGGGCGACAAAAGGAGAGTTACCGTTGCGGTTCTCTCTCTCTCTGCCACACCTACACGCGTAGCACACCCTCATCCCCCGGGACTCACCGCAATGCAATTCGTCGCTGCCATCCGTGCAGTCCCGCTCGCCGTCGCACAGGAAGTCCCGGCGGATGCATTGCCCGTTGGAGCACGTGGCCTCTTCTTTCTGGCAAGGGCGCAATCCGGGGACAAGTGGGGGCCTGGAGACCCCCACCGGAGGAAGCTTGGTGACCGGTGCCCGACGGGTGGTGATGGGGGAGGGGGTGGCAGGGAGCCGGGCAGTGCTGGGCCACGGGGAGGAGGCGGGCAACAAAGGCCTCTCGAGTTCTGCCGAAACAGAGAAGACAAGCGATGGGTCAAGAGGAGGTCACAGCCAACCGTGTTTCTCGCCTGTGCCCGGGTGCCGAAGGAAGACCAAAGTAGACAGAGCGGAAGGCATGGCGAGGCTCGGTTCACACAGCCACTCGGCTTTACAAACTGCAACAGTCCATTCATGCCACACCCAGAACCCAAACCCAGCTCCCTCCGTGTTGATTGAAAGCAGCC